TGCTCAACCTGGACGCTTCTCGGGACGGTCTGACACTGTCGCCCAGCCAACCGGCAGCGCGCCGCGTGGTGCGGCCGTCCGCCGCGCGCTGCCCGAGGCGCTGGCGGCGCTGGCGTTGCCGTGCCGCGTTCGTGCACGTTCGTGGCGCTGTGCTGCGCGGCCTGAAGGGAATCCTCGCCAGGTACGTCGCACAGTGGGCCAGCAGACCGGTGGAGGTGGCCAAAACTCCAGACGCGTTTTGAGCTCCAGAGTCGCTAAATGGGACTCGAACCGAACGTGTGACCCCACCAATGGATTCCTCGTTCGGAGAGCAATCCGTTGGTGGGGTCACACGTTCGGTTCGAGTCCTTTTTAGCGACTCTGGAGCTCGAAACACATTTGGAGTTCAACTTTTCTCGCAGTGTGTCAGTCAATGGTTAAAGGGTTAAAGATGCGGAGACATAAGGCTTTGCCTTCCCAGATACATTCGTTGTGGATTGCCTATAAGCAATCGTTTTGAAGAAGTGATTCCCAGAGTAGGATTTGAATCCTGATGCCGTGCTCACGTTTGCCCTTGCTTTCACAGGCAAGCTTCGCTTGGGCGGTTAAAAGAAGTCGAGCTGTACGTGCACAGTCCGTTGTATAGACGTCCGGAGCGACTGTGCGCGTTGCTGGACCAATTGCTGTTCACTCCTGGTGAGTCGCGAAATCCGTTGCAGGTAACGCAGGCTCCTAGAAAACGCTTAGTGGGCCAGAAGACCAGTGGAGGCGACCAAAATTCTGGACGCGTGTTGAGCTCCGGAGTCGCTAAACAGGACTCGAACCGAACGGGTGACCCCACCAATGGAATTCCCGTTCGGAGAGCAATCCATTGGTGGGGTCACACGTTCGTTTTGGGTCCCATTTAGCGACGGTGGAGCGTCTAGAATTTTGCCGCCTCCACCGGTCTTCTGGCCCGTTGTGAAAGATCTTACGAAGGTCCGGTCAACACGCGTTAGCTTGGAAAAATCTCCTATAGCATTCTTAGGCGATGCACTGATTTATACTGACCCGTCTTCGAGGGGGGAACACCTTCCCACATTCATTGTACAAAATTTGACCACATTCTGGTGGCAAAATCGCCTGTAAGTAGGCAACATGTGTGGCGAAAACGCCAGATATCTTACACATTCTTGCACATTCACACAATCATTGTACGCAAAATTTTACAGTGGCTCACCCCTCGCCCGTCTTTGTCCAGGACTGGAGGCGATGGACGTGGCCGGCAACCCGTACGACGGCGTGAACGTGCCGCTGCCGGCGCCTCCCCTCCTGACGAAAGGCAGTGCCTCCATGTCCATGCCGGCGTCACTTCGTCGGGTGCGATTCGATTACTACAACAGCATCCTGGACTCCCACCTGCACCTCATCCTGCAGTGGCATGCGGCCACACTGGAGGTGCGTTGACTTATCCGGGAGAGCACTGCACAGTGGGCCAGAAGACCGGTGGAGGCGGCCAAAACTCTAGCCACGTTTTGAGCTCCAGAGTCGCTAAATGGGACTCGAACCGAACGTGTGACCCCACCAATGGATTGCTCTCCGAACGAGGAATCCATTGGTGGGGTCACACGTTTGGTTCGAGTCCCATTTAGCGACTCTGGAGCTCAAAACGCGTCCGATATTTTGGCCGCCCCATTGACCTTCTGGCCCACTGTGCACTGGCAGTCATTCTAGATGTGCACTGACTGACTGTCCCTTCTGTCTGCCAGGACGTGTGCATCATGGGGACACTCCGCGCGCGGCGACCCTGCTGTCCGCGCTGCCCGCGCTGCACACGCTCAAGTGCCCGCTGCTGAAGGGCATGCTGGCGCTGCTGCAGTGCCCCAGCCTCAAGAAGCTGGCCCTCATCCTGGACCTCAACGCGTGGACGCGGCCGCTGATGTCCGAGGCGGAGGAGCTGGTGCGCAGGGCGGCGACGCGCCTGGAGGAGCTGACGCTGGGC